GAGTGAGTGAGTGAGTGAGAGAGTGAGTGAGTGAGTGAGAGAGTGAGTGAGTGAGTGAGAGAGTGAGTGAGTGAGTGAGAGAGTGAGTGAGTGAGTGAGAGAGTGAGTGAGTGAGTGAGAGAGTGAGTGAGTGAGTGAGAGAGTGAGTGAGTGAGTGAGAGAGTGAGTGAGTGAGTGAGAGAGTGAGTGAGTGAGTGAGAGAGTGAGTGAGTGAGTGAGAGAGTGAGTGAGTGAGTGAGAGAGTGAGTGAGTGAGTGTGTGTGTGTGTGAGTGAGTGAGTGTGCGTGCGTGTGAGTGAGTGAATATATATATATATACACACACACACATTAAAAAAAATATATATAAAGGACTGACAAAAACAGAACAAAATAAAAATAAAAACATTCTAAATAATAATGTTTTATTATTATAGTTTATAGTTTATTTCTAAATAATTCACAATCGTTTTCTCTTTTCTCCCTAAACCCTTATGAATCCCTAATGATACTGAAACAACAGGTTCACAATCGTTTGTGTCTATTAATAATACAGCACTAGCAGATAAATAAATAATAGATAGATAGATAAATAAATAAATAAAGCACGTCACTATGAAGAATTACAGGTAAGTGTCAAATGTCGTCGAGGTGGACATGGATATTATCATCAACTAAAACCATTACAAACCTTTTCATTACTCAAAATAAAATACAGATGATCTGTAATAAAATATTTTCTAAAATGCCTAGATTTTACAGTTGCATGCATCATACAGGTTTTAACAGATAAGCTGGGTAAAAGGTGGTTTATGGTTTGATTGTTTACGCGGTGTTATCTGCGTCAGTGTTTGAAGTGTTGTGCTGCTCAAGCAAACGCTGATGAGAGTCAGTGTGTCCTGATAAAACACTGAGAATCACTCAGCTCTGAAAGATGCAGTCCAGAGTACACATGAAGTAATGCTGAGCGCTTACTCTTACAGCAGATGAACTGAGCGTTGTTCGTGATGCTGCTAATGAGACACAGAGACGCTCAGAAATCATGATTATAGATCAAGCTTACGATGCATTTTCTCTGATGAAGGTTTTGTCCCGTGGAAAATCCCACATGCCTGTTTTCTGATCCGTATCAAAGCCAGTGAAAGACTCGTTTATGCTGCAGTTACGGATCATTTGCATGGCGTTTGACACGCTGTTTATAATCGATGCGGCCTCAGAAATGCAGCTCTGACAGAGCAAAGCATGCCCTATTTGTATCAGACTCATGACAGATTCCTGATCTGCAGAAAGCACAGGCATTATTACATGAGCATGACACAATTTCCAGTGATTCGCCCTGATTTTACCATCTGAGAAACATCCGGAACAGATACTTAGCAATGAAATTACAACTGTTCCTTATTTGTATATCT